CCCCAAAACCCCAAAACCCCTATGATAAATAAATGTGATTAATTAGATCAAGCTTATTTTATCAATAAAATATCTTCAGATGATGTAGCATCACTCATTTGATCAGTCTCTTCTTCCAAAACTCTTCCATAGTTTTTGAAATAAAAATCCTAAATATCATTCCAATAATAAATCACTGTCCATTCAACCCCATTATACTTTAATCTCTAATCGTGAAATCGATCAATAAACAAAAACGCTTAAAGAAAGCTTTTAGTCCCAAATATCCATGCTAAATTCTCCCTAATTGATTTATAGCCATACTCAAACTTAACATGATTATGCTGACTACCCTTGACTTCATCTTCTAATTAACTTTCCAACTCGTTTCCTCTGTTCTTTTGCTAATTCTTCTTTTTAATCTAAGTCTCAATTAAGTCTTTAAACTCTAAATGAGTGTATCCCTAGAAGCTAACATAGACATTCCAAATGAATAGAATCAGTAAGAATTTGCCGATAAGCAGGTCAAACACTTTGATAATTGTGAAAAATAGACCTGAATCACTGATTGTCTGATAAAATGTGCTCTCGTCACAAAGTCTTATTGTTAGGACAGAGTACATAGCACCAATCATACCATATAAATTCAATTGCAGGAACTTATCGTAGTTGTGCAAGCCGATGCAACAATTAGTCCACATGCAATGATGATCCATCAGTAAAACGCATTAGTTGCAGACACTGCAATGATGTGTCCTGAGAGGCTTAAATTCCTTGCATTTCAAGCATTATAGTTAGGTAATCTTCGCCAAACTCTCATATGAGATCATATTTGAGAATCTTTTAGTCTCTGCTAAATCATATGAGAATTTCTTAACTAGATCATTATTTAATGCTTCTAGATATTTGTCTTTCTTTAGTACACTCTATATCATAATGATAAGTATTTATTTATCAGAATTCTGATTACCTTTAAACTGTCTGGAGTAGCTGGTTTTGTAATCTACATCAAGTAGTACAAGTAGTTTACTTTATACATCAAGAATAGTCCAATAGCCATATATACCTATTCTAAAGTATTATTTCAGTATCCAAACATAGAAATCCTTACATAAACTAATCTTCCAACAAATGTATCCGCATAGTACTCTATTAATAAACCCCAGTGATGGAACATGAAAAAGAGCAAGTGTAGAAGCTGATATAAAAAGAAAAATGCAACTATATATGGGCCTGAATTTCTAATGAATTGGTTTCCTTTGTCTGATTTGAAAAACTTAAATACAGGTCCAAATGTTAGCGATTTAAACTTGGCAAATACAGCATTTGGATTAATTGACATTTTGACTTTTAATTTAATTCTTATTAAATCATGATCAATGAATTATGAGCATTTTGGGGTTTTGGGGTTTTGGGGTTTTGGGG